GGAAGACAGCATATCCGGAGGTGGAACGACGGGTGTCAGGGCAGCCAGCCCAGTCAACGTCGGTGTAGACGATGAGCTGAGTCGGGGCAGAGCGGGGAATGACAAGACCAAAACCGATAGTGCCCTGAAGGTAGCGAAGAATCCGCTTGGCAGCAACAAGATGAACTTCCCGTGGGTCATGCATGTGCAGGCAAACTTGTTGAACGGCGTATGCGATGTCGGGCCGGGTGAAAGTGAGGTATTGGAGAGCGCCCACAAGGTTGCGATATGCTGTAGGATCATCAACAGAAGGTCCGGCATCAGCAGAAACTTTGGCACAAGTGTCAACAGGGGTGGAACAAGGCTTGCAGTCGCTCATGCCATGACGAGCAAGAATGTCCAGAGTGTACTGACGCTGGGAGAGGAATAGTGTCCTTCTGTCGCTGAACTGCTACGCCAAGAAAATGGTGCAGGGAGCCAAGATCTTTCATGGCAAATTCTTTCTTTAGTGCATCGATCACCCGGTGTAAGAGCGGCTGAGAGGAGGCAGTAACAATAATGTCATCCACAGAGGAGCAAGTAGACTATCTCGGTGCCGCGGTGATAGATGAAAAGAGAGGTGCCGGACTTAGCTTCAGTGAATCCCAAAGACAGCAGACAGGCAGCAAACCAGCTGTACCACGCTCGCGGTGCTTGCTTCAAGCCGTAGAGGGACTTGTTGAGCCGGCAGACATGTTCAGGAAGAGTAGGATCGGCAAAACCAGTGGGCTGAGAGCAGTACACTGTTTCTGACAAGGTCCCGTGAAGGAAGGCGTTCTTCACATCAAGTTGATGGATCAGCCAGTCCCGAGAATGAGCCAGAGTGAGGACGGTGCGAACAGTGGTTGGTTTGACGACAGGGCTGAAGGTTTCGTCGTAATCGATACCGGGGCGCTGTGTAAACCCGCGAAGTACCCATCGAGCCTTGTATCTGTCCAGGGAGCCATCAGCATGGAACTTATGTTTGAAAATCCATTTGCCGGTGACCACATTCGCCTTGGCTGGGCGAGGAACGAGATCCCAAGTGTGGTTGTCCGAGAGAGCAGCATATTCTTCTTCCATAGCCCGACGCCAATGGTGATTGGTAAGGGCGTCGCGACAGGACCGCGGTATCGGGGACAGAGCTTCGGTGTGTAGGGCAAGACGGGGCTGCTAGTACCCAGACTTCCCATGAGTCGCCATGCCATGAGAATTGGCGACAGGCGGGATGGGAACAGCGCCGGCTGGAAGTGAAGGACCACTCTTGACAAAGCGTGGTGGAGATGGAATGATACCGGAGCGTCGAGGAGGAGCCCCAGCAAGAGGTGCTGGTGACGAGCTGGGTGTCGGAGCACGCCTGGTGTAGACATGGACGATGAGTGGTTTGGCGAAGGAGGATGTTGGGGGCGCCTGCACAGGGGGCGTCATGGACACTGGGGCAGAGGCGGATGGCAGGGGGGACGCCTGCACAGGATGCGCCGTGGATGTCAGTAGGGGGGCGCCGTGGGCTGGGATGTCGGTGTGCCTGGGGCAGGCACCGAGATGACCGACGGCCGGGGCACAGGGAAACCCGGTGGAGGTGGCCTGGACCCCGGCGTGCCCAGTCCTGGCATTGGCGTGACCGATGGCACAGGCTGGGAGGGGCGCGCAGAGGCGCAGGTGCTGGCAGTGGGCCTGTGCGCCCAGGGATACCTGCAAGAAGAAGGGAAACTGACGAGGGGTCGTCATCGGTTAGAAAATCAAGCTCGTGGGTAGGTGGTGAGGGCCGACGAAGGGAGAAAGGAAACGTGGTTTCGTCGAAAACAACATGGCGAGAGATGATGACATGGTTGGTGGCGAGATCGAGGCACCTATAGCCCTTGTGATCGGGAGAATAGCCAATGAAAACACATAGAGAAGAACGCGGGGCGAGCTTGTGAGGAGTGGTGGCAGTGAGGTTGGGGTAACAGGTGCACCCAAAAGTTCGGAGATCATGATAGGAAGGATGAGTGCCAAAGAGCGTGAAGAAAGGGGTGCTCATTTGGAGAGTTTTGGTGGGGAGGCGATTGATGATGTGAGTGGCAGTGGCAAGGGCATCAACCCAATAGGAGGGGGGCATGGAAGCTTGGAAGAGTAAGGTGCGGGTGACATTGTTGGTTGTTCGAAGCATGCGCTCGGCTTTGCCATTTTGCTGCGAGGTATAGGGGCAAGACATGCGGAGAGAAACACCTTTAGCAAGAAAGAAAGCACGAGACGCAGAGTTGTCAAACTCACGGCCATTGTCACATTGCACGGATTTGATGGTGCAACCAAACTGAGTGAGCACATAGGCGAAAAAATAGAGAGGACAGAAAAGGTGTCAGACTTTAAACGAAGAGGAAAAGTCCAAAGAAAATGAGAGCAATCATCAATAATAACGAGATAATATTTAAATCCGGATACACTGATAATTAGAGAAGTCCACAGATCACAATGGATTAACTCGAAATTATGAGATGCTCTTGACAAGGAACTAGTAAAGGGTAAGCGGACGTGGCGCCCAAGCTGACAAGCATGGCAGAGGGAGTCATCATCGGGTTTGCTGTAGATAATCGAAGAAGACTGGGCGAGGCTCTGAAGAGTGGCCTTGCTAGGATGGCCGAGGCGACGATGCCAAGTTGCCGGGGATGGAGTGGCCACAAGAGCGCAGGAACCGGAAGGCGACGACGGGAGCTGCAGGGCGTAGAGGTGCCCTGAGCTGTTACATCGAAGGAGGACGTTCCGGGTACGGAGATCCTTCACAGAAACACCAAGTGGGTCAAACTCAACAGAAACAAGATTATCAGAGGTGAATTGTCTAACAGAGAGAAGGTTTTTAATAATATCAGGAGCTATAAGAACGTTGTTGAGATGAAAAGGACCAGGAAGAGTAGAGTAGCCAGTGCCAACGACCGGTAAAGTGGCACCATTGTTGACCACAATGGAGGAAGGAAAAAAGGAGGATGGCGATACGGTGACCATACCAGGGTTGGAAGCAATGTGAGATGTGGCGCCCGAGTCGACAACCCATTCCGAGGAACTTGGTGGCGGGGTGAGAGTAACGGTGCTGAAAGCGTTGGCAAGGGACTGGGGATCCCATGGTGACCATGCAGGAGGGGACGGTGAGGTGGGCGCCTGGTAGTATGCTGCAGGAGCTGGAGGACAGTATGCTCCAGGAAGAGGCATGCCCGTCATCAGAGCTTGCTGCAGAGACGAAGATGGGCCGACGCGAGGTGGTGGACCGCGAGGACCACTGTGGGAGGACCCTGGCCACATGTGGATGGACCCGGTCCATGGGTTGAGGATGGAGGGCCACTGTGGTCCGCCTGGCGAGCCGCTGTGCGATCCGCCTTGGCCACGGCCGCCGCGACGACGCCGGCCACGGTTGCTGCCAGGTGACACCCCCCCGGCAGCCTGTGGAGGGCGAGGGAATGTCGGCCCAGCTGGTGACGAGGAGGCAGGAGGCTTGCTGGACGAAGAGGCGAGGAGAGCTGAGGGAGGCGCCGAGGGAGGCGCCATGTTGAGCTCGGCCAGACGTAGGTCGGCACGGACATCAGCAAACGAAGGGAACGGCCACTGTCGGGTGACGAGCTACGACATGAATTGGAAGCGTTCGTTGAGGCCACGCAAAACATTCAGCACAAGAGTGCAGTCGTTGATGGGCTCGCCGAGGTCGGCAAGTGCATCGGCCATACTCTTCATCTTGCGGCAGTAATCATCGATGGAGAGGATGCCCTGGGAAAGGGTGCGAAATTCGGCGTCGAGAAGCATGGCGCGGGACTCGCGATTGTTCAGAAACTGCTGCTCAATCCCGAGCCAGGCCGCCCGAGCAGTGATGCCATCACGCTCGTGGATGACGTCCAGGAGGTCAGAGGAGATGGTGTTGAAGAGCCAGGAGACGACCACACAGTCCATGCGTGACCATGTCGGGTCGGTGAAGCGGGGATCGTTACTGAGGACGTGGTCCTTCAGAGCGAATCGGCCGAGAGTGAGAAGGATGTAGCCGCGCCACTTGGAGTAGTTGGAGGACTGTAGATCAAGGACAATGGGGATCAAGTTCTTGATGTTCTGGACAGCGGCGGCCTGGCTGTGCAGATGAGCAATAGTCGCAGCTTCGGAGCGATCGTCGTCGCCGTCCACGGTGTTGTCGTCCCGGAGGAGTTCCAGGCGAAGACGCTCACGGAGGGCAGCGGCCTGCTGTTCCAGGAGATCAGCCTGCGCGCGCTCTTGTTCAAGAGCAGCGGCGGCAGCACGGACGTGTTCCTAGGCAGCAGTGGCTGACTTGAGAAGATCAGCCTCCTCCTGGAGTTGCTGACTGCGCTCAGAGTTGGTGATGCGCAAGGAGACGGCCTCTTCTTCCAGTGTCTTGGCGGCGGCGAGGGCTTCGTCGCGAAGCTGAGTCGCGAGGGACGCTGCCGAGGCGCCGGAGGTGGAGCCGCCGGAGGCTATTGGCGCGGCAGCCATCAAGGTGAGGCGCGGCAGCCGAAACAGAGGCGCTGCAGCCGTCAAGATGAGGCGCGGCAGCCGAAACAGAGAGGTGGGCGGAAGCAGAGGGGTGGGCGGGAGGTGGAAAGGCCCAAGACTGTGATTAGTTTGATACCATGATAGAGGAATACCAATAGGCTTAGATTCACTTAATGGAGAGTTTACAAGAGGGTTACATATTTATAGAGGTAAACTAACTAGAGAATTAAGAGGGGGGAAGTCCTAGGCAACAAGCCGGGAGTCCCTAGGCAGCACAGTGGGTGGAAACCCAAGGGGCAGCCGGTACAACAGTAAAGATAGGAAATAAATACTCTAACACTTAGTCCTTACGAAAATTACACCAAATATTTCTGTTAGAAAAGCTTATACAGATATGATGTTTGTATATTTAGAATAAGGGAAGGTTCCTTGACTTGGCAGAATCATTTTACATTGGAAACTGACAACAAACTGTACCAATACCAGCATGGGTTATAGAGCTGTCTGTAGAAATATTCGATTCTGAAATCTTCTACTTGCAGATTTTTGGTTCAATACTTGGAGTTTCAGCTGGATTTGTGCTAGGAAAGGAAGGGCCCATGGTACATACAGGGGCATGTATTGCCAACTTGCTTGGTCAGGGTGGATCACGCAAGTATCATCTTACTTGTAACTGGCTACGATACTTTAAGAATGACAGGGATAGGAGAGATTTGATCACATGTGGATCTGCAGCTGGTGTAGCAGCTGCCTTCCGTGCACCTGTTGGTGGTGTTCTGTTTGCTCTTGAAGAAGCAGCATCATGGTAGCACCTCTTTCTAGAAAATTTAGCATTGTTTTTTGGGCTAAATACTTTCACTATTTAACCTCTTGCATATTTTGGTTGTCACAATATTGCAGGTGCAGTATCTATGAACTTTCAATGTCTATCCGTTTTTACCTAACATTGATTTGGTGTTATGCTTTTTATTGTTCAACAAATAATCATTAGTTGGGCATGTGGCTACAACTACAATAGATTGAACAATTGATGAAATTGGGAAAAAATGATATTAGCATAGTTATCTACTATTAGTCTGCAATCTGCATAAATTTCTTTTTTCAGTTTTTTGTATGATGAAATATGATGTTTATATACATCATTTTACAGGTGGCGAAGTGCTCTTTTGTGGAGAACATTCTTTACAACTGCTGTTGTTGCGGTGGTATTGAGGGGACTGATTGAGTTCTGTCGCAGTGGAAAATGTGGTCTCTTTGGGAAAGGTGGATTGATCATGTTTGATCTCAGTTCAACTGTTGCAACCTACAGTACTCCAGATCTAATTGCAATTATAATCCTTGGGATAATTGGTGGAATCTTTGGAGGCCTCTTCAACTTTCTGTTGGACAAGATCCTCCGAGTTTATAGTATTATCAACGAGTAAGCACTCAACTGTAATTAACATGTTTGCCTAACTTCTCTGCTTATTTTAAGATATGATATCATCTATATTATTTAATCTGCCTGCAGGAGAGGTGCTCCATTCAAGATCCTTCTCACTATAACAATATCAATAATCACATCGATGTGTTCCTATGGTCTTCCTTGGCTTGCAGCATGCACTCCATGCCCTGTTGATGCTGTGGAGCAGTGTCCTACTGTTGGTCGCTTCGAGCAATTATAAGAACTTCCAATGCCCACCAGGGCATTACAATGATCTTAAGTCCACTCTTCTTCAATACAAATGATGATGCCATCCGCAATCTCTTCAGCAACGGCACATCAACTGAGTTCCAAATGTCATCTCTTTTCATCTTCTTCACTGCTATTTACTGCCTTGGACTGGTGACTTACGGTGTTGCTGTCCCATCTGGTCTCTTTATCCCTGTTATTCTTGCTGGAGCCACGATGGGCGCATAGTGGGAACTCTTCTTGGATCCATATCTGATCTTGATCCTGGCCTTTTGCCCTTCTTGGCGCAGCATCTTTTCTTGGTGGAACAATGAGAATGACTGTGTCAGTCTGTGTGATCCTTCTAGAGCTCACCAATGATCTCCCCATGCTCCCTCTACTCATGCTTGTTATTCTCATATCCAAAACCATAGCAGATAACTTTAACAAGGGAGTTTATGATCAGATAGTGGTGATGAAAGGCTTGCCATTCATGGAGGCTCATGCTGAACCATACATGAGGCACTTGGTTGCTGGTGATGTGGTGTTTGGCCCACTAATCACCTTTTCTGGTGTTGAGAAAGTGGGGAACATTGTTCATGCATTGAGGTTAACTGGCCACAATGGTTTTCCTGTGGTTGATGAGCCACCCATAACGGAAGCCCGGAACTGGTTGGGCTTGTGACTAGGTCTCATCTATTAGTTTTGCTGAACAGCAAGAATTTCATGAAGGACGGTTCAAAACTAGTGTTAGCTTTGTTCTGCTAAGATTTGGTGCATTTGACTTTGCCAAACCAGGTTCAGGTAAAGGTTTGAAAATTGAGGATCTGGATTTCACTGATGAGGAGATGGACATGTATGTGGATCTCCACCCGATCACAAATACATCACCTTACACAGTGGTTGAGACAATGTCACTGGCAAAAGCGGCAATCCTTTTCCGGGAACTCGGGTTGAGGCACCTTTTGGTTGTGCCAAAGACACCAGACGTAAGAGACCTCTCTCACTTTCTTAGTCAGACATGGAATCGATGATTCTAGTGCTTTATCAATTTGAGTTTGTTATTTGTTTACATTCACAAATTGGATACATCATACATGATATGGATTCTGGCTTTAGATGCATTGAAAGTCATATACCTTCTAGGTGCTTAGTACCTCATTAGTTGTCATGCAGAGTTATATCATTTGTTCTTTGTTTACTTGATATCTTCTGTTTTCTTGAATATTTAAATATATGTATTTAAGCTAGTATATATGTCCAGAGTAACCTTAACCCCTTAACCCAGTGATTACGCCTGCAAATTTATTACTATAATCCATTTATGCATTACCATCTTTAGTTTGGGAAAGTTTCCATGGCTGATGATGGGTGTCTGTTTCTTGTCGAGTGCAGAGGCCTCCCATAGTCGGGATTCTCACGAGGCATGATTTCATGCCTGAGCACATTCACAGTCTGTTCCCGAACCTCAATCCTCACAAGTACCATTCAGCATCAATGGCAGGTTGATAATGAGGCTTTTTTCTGCTTCCCATCTATGTACATTATTCGGATGCGGATGCTGGTTGTATGTAAATTGCAAAGGTGTATCTGGTGTTCAATTGGATAGAGCTCATCTTCTCTACATGGTTTGGCTTGTGTGGATTTTGTAGCATATGCTCTTTTTGCAATAAAAAAATGTGGCAGTTATTTTGCTGGTGACTGCCTATTATGAGCCTGCGGCAAGAAATGCACAGCAAGTTGCGGAGTAAACATTCAAAGCTCCAGAATATGGAGAGAAAGTGTGTATTGCATATTTGCATTGTTCCTGTAAAGCATGTTTAGAGAACTGAAACTCTTGAGGATTTATCTATAAATAATACGGAGTATATATCTCAGGCGGACACATGGGCGATTGGGACTGCGAAGTGCAGATTTCCTCTTGCGATTGTAAGATCTACTTGGATTGAGATTCGTAACATTTCTGCTCTGCTCTGTTACGATATTCACATGTCAAAATGTGTTGACATCCTAACCGTGGTTCCTGCACAATTAAGGCATGTGTCATGTTCATGCGTTAAGTTCTTTTTTTCAAATGAAAATGGATACGAGCTATTAGAATATATTACTCGTACCTAATGTAACAGAACAGCATGCCACGCTCGTCGGCTCGTGGCCGCCAGCCATCTGCCGACGACGTGAGATACCTCACAGTGATAATCCTTCCAACAGTATGTGCTTTGGATGTTGTCGCGCACCGTGATGATGCCCTTGGGCTCTGGGATCTTGAGCTTGTGGTATACGTAGACGTAATTCGGAACCAGTCATGAACTTGATGTAGCATGGCCTTCCGAGTATAGCGTTATAGGACCGTGACCTGTTTGGTTTTAATGCTACATGGAACTAGACTAAAATGTTAGTTGAAGCATATTGACATGGGCCTATTTGTATATTAGTCTGATTATCTGCTATTCTCAATATTTGTTAGATTGTTCGTATATACTCTAGAGATGCATCTGTAATTTCTTTGAAAGAACTAGAAAAACTGTCCATGCCCGTAGTGCAGGCCAGCCAACTAGCTGGTTGAGGATGAAAGCTAGATAGAGTAAGAAATCTATATGTGAAAGTCACTGCTAATGATTCCTTTTTTTTTCTTCATAGTTTTATAGGCACTGAGAATGATGTAGTGAAAAATCTCAAATTTTGATATGTTGCTTTGATTATGGGTTGCATTACTTTGACTATTAGCATAATAAAAATGCATTAGTAGAATGATCTAATATGGATGGCAGTTAGAATTGTTCTGAGATAAAAGAAAGCATCATTGCCTCAGTCCTGATATTATCTTGATTGTGTTAGTTATTTATTTTTCCAGAAATTTCTCTGGTTGCCCTCTGTAGCTCTTTGCTTTCTCAAATGGTTATATGCTTTTACATGTTGGTTTGGTCTGTCCTACTGTCATTTCAATATTAGGATTATGCTGTAGCTGGTTTCGAATTATTATGTGTGCATGTAGTGATAAGTCATTTGGTAGATTAACCACTGCCAGGAGATGTACAAGTAGAAGGATCCAAAGCACAAGGCCTATGTGATGGTGCACTATTGGTCATTGCTCCAACACAATAAGGAGTGGAAACTGAGAAAGAATAATTGTGATTCACCGAAGAAGGTGCCAAACAAATCCTCTCTAGGCTTGGCGCAAGTGCATGAGGAAGATGAGGTGGGAGGAAGCAATTACTGCTCTAAGATTGGAGGCGCCCAAAAACAAGAGGGAGAGGATTAAGAAGGGACGGGACCACGTGTTTCACACAATAGTCCAAGAGACAATTGCAACAAAGGAGTTTGAGGCTGAGAAGAAGCAAGAAAATGAAACAAGATGGATGGAGATCAGGGCCATGGAGATGCACAAGGTGGTGATTGAAGAGAAGTTGCGAGTTCTTGAAGAGGAGTTGCAAATGAAAAAAGTGGAGCAAAAAAATGCAGGATTATGTTCATGGACATTATTGGGCTTGATGAAACACAAAAGGCCTATGTTTGTCAATGCATGCTCAAATTTTGGCGTCGAAGATGGGAGGGAGTGGCAGTGGAGTGGAAATGCAAGGGTTTGTTGATCTGTATATGCATTTTCAGAAATAGAATGCCTTGTTTCGCCACCAATTTTGGAAGAAAAATCACATTAATTTGCACTCTAAACAAATGGCAGCACTCTGAACCAATTTTGGAACTAGCTTATTGTTTGCTCTTGAGAACAATATGGTTTTGAACAGAAGGTAGACCTTAATACCTATTTGTGTTACTGTCTTCAAGTTGAGCATTAGTAGTAGCACTAATAGTGAAATCGGTCTTGTGCTATGGCTATGGTGAACAATCTTTGCCTATTATTTATGAAAGGTTACTTGAACCTTGCACATAGTTGGTTGTGTAACATATCCACTGGTTGTGTGATTTGTCCAGTTCAGACCATTCTATATGCTTTCATATTTAACATAGCAGGTGAGCTTGGTTGTCTGAATGCCCACAGGCCATGGTTTCACAGCTGTAAAATTTTAGTCTTCTCATTATCTAAAAAAAAGTTTCAGTCTTCTACATATTTTTAATATATCTTGGCATAAATTTGAATATGACCATGAGCCTTTTTTAATATTGATTGAATTATGTGTGGTAGACATAAAAATAAGAATGATTGTGAGTGCAATTAGAGTGTTCATGAGTTTGTATGAAAATATAGAGAGATACAAGAATGGACTATTGGGGATAGGGTATCAGTGATCTGCAAAAGTATTCTCCCCTAATAATCCAAAAAGGGGTATTAGGTTATCCTCATTAACATCTTATTGGAGTTATATTGTGGAGCCGTAATACTTTGCCATGGCCCACTATTAGATTGATGCACACCTTTAGATCTATAAAGACAATAAATCATCAAAAGATTCTGATATAGGTAGATGAGAATCTTTCGAGTGTGAAGTATTTTCATTTCTTTCGTTTTTTTATAGTAGACTACAAAGAGAGATAAAGAGAGAACTAATTGAATTCCATTTAGTAGCCTTGTAGCTACAACAAAACACTTGGCAACAACTACACAAAAAAAAAGACAGAACCAATTGCCAAGTTGCATTAGAATGATTATTTCAGCATCCTTCCTATCTTGCGTATCATGATGCTTAATCCTCCTTGCGAACGAAGTTAACGAGGTTGTAGATGATACATGATAGTGGCTGCGAGCATAATTCCAGTGCCAGTGCTAAGATGGAGAGAGCTAAGGCAGGAAAAACAAACAGATAAGGCAAGGAAAAACCTGTCTGTTTTTTGTTTATCTTATTTGGCACCATTATCCTTGGGGGATCCCAAACCCCCGACCACTCAGCTCCACGGCCACCATGGTGCCGCTCCACTGCTCAGCTAGCGTCCACCTCCACTGCCTCTCGCCATCTCGCCGACTCCGCCTTGCTTCATCCTGCCCTCTCCTCTGCCGTCGCCTCCGCCGCTCCACCGCCATCCGCGCTGAGGCTCAAGTGCGGCTTCCGCCGCCCGTCTCCGCAGCGGAGCCAGAGCCCCCCGACGCCGGCGCTGTCGAAGCCGAAGCCCAAGGGCAGGGACCCGTGGAGCTCCGCGCTCCGACGCTCTTCTCGACGGATGACAATCCCACCCCGCTCCAGACTGCCACCAGTCTCCTCCTCACCGGCGCCGTCTCGGTCTTCCTCTTCCGCTCCCTCCGCCGCCGCGCCCGCCGCGCCAAGGAGCTCGTAATACATCCCCACCCGATGCCATCCTCTATCTACATCACACCGCATATGCTCTCCAACAGAAATCTGATGGCGTGGTTGATTGATTGCCGCAGAGAGTGCGGTCGAGCGGGGTGAAGAAGAAGCCCAACAATCTCACCGAGGAGGCCCTGGAGGGGCTGAGGCTGGTGAGCGCCTCACCCATCGAAACCGAGAAGCCGCCATCACCAATCCAGGCTCTGCTCGGCGGGATTGCGGCGGGGGTCATCGCACTCATCCTTTACAAGTTCACCACCACAATCGAGGCTGCGCTCAACCGTCAGAACATCCCCGACAGCTTCTCGGTCAGCACTTCACAGTCTTGTTCTTATCGTTTCTTAGTAGTTCATTAAGCACTGACATTGTCATTATAATCGGGGATTTTGATATCGAAATGACCTATGTACTTGCAATTGTTTGTTGCTAGAAATCGGCAATTAAGTAGGATGCTCGTACTCGCTTGTTTTCAGTGAAGAAGACAATTCAACTAGCATTCGTGAGCTATGATGCAGTGGAGCCATGCTCCCACAGGACAGGCTGAGCACACGTTTGGTTGGTGTATATATTGAGCTTGATTGAGAAGAGATAGTGTTTGGTTGCCCACGCAAAGATATAATCGCATGAGACAAAAGTGGATAAACACGTGTTATTGAGATATTTATTTTAGACAAATATACTTTAATGGTTCTTATTTTATCTTATTAAATCTTAATATCCTTCGAAATATGTTAGTATCGTTTAATATGCAGTAATCATACTCTAATCCAGTCATTAGTTGGTGCACGATGCGCATGCCACAGGCCGGCGTGCTAGAAACGACCAAAAAATCCGTATCCACAGATGCAGGCTGTGGGTTGCTTTTTGCACCGGCGGGGATAGGCTCTGATGCAGTCATCCAAACATGAGAGGCTGCACGCAACGGGCCTGGTTCGGCCTCCATGCAGCCAACCAATCGAACTGATATGTTGCCTGTAATCCTGTTCCTGTACACGCGCGTGTGTTACCTTTGGGTCAAATAAGCATTCCCAGTTGTTCTGGATGTGGACGTTTGTAGTGCTCAACGCATGCAAGCTCATGCGGAGCACATCCAGGTCTATAGGGAGATGTGTGCTATGCTGTGGTTGTGGATGTGGGATGGCACGACCGGTCGAGTGGCATGCCGCGCATGTAGGGCAGATCACTGCCACTATTATGAGGAGTTGTTCTCTTTATATTAAGTGAAGCATACGGAAAACGCTGCCAGTTCTAACAGCACAAAAGATCGGGTGAGTGGGTGATCACCGGCGTTGTGTGCTCGCCGGAATTTACAACATTATAATCATAAGAGTTTGTTTTTTTGCTTTGTGTGTCTGGATATGGGCTGGCTAGGTGGTGTTCCTTCTCAGGTCTTTGGACTTTGGATGTTTCAGTGTTAACATTTTGAATTTTCTCAAGCAATATAACTTTTACTTTGTATGTTTACATTGTAACACTTTCTGTGCAACAAACCATGCTATGCATGACTCCATTCCAACTAGCACAATCAAGCCAGCACATTGAGCCATCAAGGAATGGACCAGGGTTAAGTTTAGTTGCAGATGAACCGGTCATATGCTTCATTCGAATGTGTAGCATTTTTTTACCTTAATGGAGTCACTAAAAGCAGTGAAGGGCTGATTCGTATTTTCTTGTAGTGTGTCAAATAAGAAACAACAATCTTATAATTGTGCCATAAACTAAGCCCATAACCAAATCTTGGATGTTTCAATTTTATTAGTTTGACTGAAATCTGTGCTGATCGGCCATTGCCATAAAATTAGATATATGTATTTATTAGGCAATTCTTCGAAATGAGTTTGATATCGATCTGCCTTTTTGATGTTCTTGGTTTGGATGTCTCCTGTTCCTTTTAGTATGCTTCTCGGCAAGATAACTTTTATTTTATGTGTTTACATCATTACACTTTCTTTGCAACAGTTCAATAGTTCATCCTATTTGTGCATTGTGTGTTACTGGCAGGTCTCTGAAGTTAAACATTGTAGTCCATATCAGCATTAGACTTGTATCAGTTTAATTGAGTTTTTTGGCTTTTGAAACAAGTGACACCCTCTTGTTAATGCAAAATGATGTGTATCATATAGGGTACAGTACAATGTATTTTGTTTTTGTGTTGTTTTCACTATGCTTATGGATAACTAGTTTGTTATAGCTGTCTTACACATTTTCTAATAGAATCCAATTGTCTTTTTTCAGGCTCGTCAGATTACAATCACAATAAGGTGTTAAATGATCCATTTTGCTGTTTGTTCTAAGCTGACTTCCTAGACCTTATTCCATTTATACTGCTCTTTTCAGAACAATTATCACTGGGCTGTGCTACCTAGCAACTTCTGTCTTTGGAATCAATGCAGTGGGATTAGTTTTGTATTCCCTCCAACTCACTTTACAATCAATCGTGGACGATGACTCCAGCTCCTCCACAGGGAAGATTACTGAACAAGCTAATACACTGGCATCATCTGATAGCTCCACAAGTAGCAGGGAATCAGACAGTAGTGATACGCATCTCTCTGACAAAAGTAAAAACTCAGCAGAGAAGCAGAGTTAGACATGTAATATAAATAGCCAAATTCTGAGCTCTGAGGGTACATATAATTGGACAATCATTGTAAGCATTCCTTCTCATCTTTAGCTGAAAAACTTATTCTCATCTTTAGCTGAAAAATCTGGCGGGTGCAATCTCAACTAGAGAGTTTCAATTAAACTAGTACTCCCTCCATCCAAAAAAGAAGAGAAGAATGCAATTCTAGATTTGAGCCAACTCAAATTGTCTTAAGTTTGACTAGGTTTTAGAAAATATATCAATATTTATCTCTCTAAATATGTTTATTATGAAAATATATTCTATGATTAATCTAATGATATTTACTTGGTATCATAAATGTTAGTACTTTTTTTGTATAAATTTGGTCAAACTTAAAATTGTTTGACTCCTTGAAAAGTGAGAATTACATTCTTTTGGAATGGAGTAATAAGCTATTAACATATGGAACTTGAACATATTTGTCTGAGCTTGTAAAGTTGTACTTGTTATAGTCTTGCAAGATTTCTGATTGCCGTTGCCCATTGGCACTCTTTCCTTCTGGTGTAGAAATTGTTGTTGCACAAACTGTTGCTAACGACTTAAACATTATCATATTTCCTTGCTGCTACAACTTAACATTATCATATTTCCTTGCTGCTAATCTCTCTTTAAAAACTTATATCATGTTGTCTAACAACTTGAGATTATCAGATTTCCTTGCCGCTAATCTCTGTTAAAAACTTATGATGCTGTCTTACAAACATTCAAAGGCGGATAACAAATTAACAAGACCTGTCAAGACTCAAGCTCAAGCAAAAGCTGGTCTTGGCAAGTGGTCCGTTCTGGTATGCCCCAAAAAGCAGCTAGAGCTATGAGGCAATTGGGATCATCGTCCATCTGTAAGCTGAAGGCCGCTCTGTGCTCACTTGGTGTCACAATAAAAAAGCTTCGAGTAGAGTAATCATTTCGTAACATTTTGTAAGTCTTGTTCTGTATGTATGTCTGCACATGTATTGCCTATGAGGCTATGAACAAAGACACCGGCGTTCTTTTCAGTTTTGTATGCAACTTTTATATGGTGCGCGTGTGTTTTGAAACAGATGCTGGAGTTATGGATTGGGAAAGGATTAAGAACAGTAGGTAAATATGCATATTATATCTGATGTTTAACACTGAAAATGCTAGAGTATTACATAATTATATATTACATACTCTATTGCAGCAGTTTTTGTAGAGGGAGTTGTACATAGGAATTTTACATACTAGATAGTAACTTGATCGATACGATATTACTGCTAGGAAACACATGTATAGTAGGGGTTTCTTTATTGCTACATTGGAGTATACTATATTCCTATAGATCATTGTTCGTCTAAATGGTTGTTTAGCCTGTTTGCACACTGTTTAAATGCTATGTACTGTTTAAACTACCGTTTAGCCTGTTTAAGTGGCCGTTTAGGCCGAATAGTGGCTAAACAGTAAGTGACCGACTGTTTACCGTTTAGCGTTTAGGATAACTTTGCTATAGATAGAGGCTTTGCTTTGGTGCCCATAAGGTTGATGAAAGATCAACACAAACATTAGTTTCGCTGGCTGTGGCGCAAAAGGTTCGATGTTTTTTGAAGCACCGTTGCCCAATACGTTGTTTATACATGACATAGAAGATCCATGGTCAGTTTTTTCTTCAGTTTTTGCCCATTTCAAAATGTGTACTCTGTTTGGAAGGCTTACCTTTTCAAGGTGGTGCTAAGCAAAGGGTCATCTCCTGGTGCATCAGTTGTCTCCTTCATTTTCTTCTGACTTTTGTTCATTGGTCAGAGTAGCATCAATTTCCTAATATGAAATGATGTATCAAATTATAAATCTATGGAGACTCATCAAGCAAATGCATTTGAACGTACCAGATAGAAAATATATTACTCGTATCTCAATCGATAGCAATAACTGAATCAAAGTGGATAAAACAAATCAGGGGTTCTCAAATGAATACCAAATGCAGAAAAAAATGAGCATGGATAGAACAAAGGTGATTAGCCATAAAATTAGATATATGTATTTATTAGGCAATTCTTCAAAATGAGTTTGATATCGATCTGCCTTTTTGATGTTCTTGGTTTGGATGTCTCCTGTTCCTTTTAGTATGCTTCTCAGCAAGATAACTTTTATTTTAGGTGTTTACATCATTACACTTTCTTTGCAACAGTTCAATAGTTCATCCTATTTGTGCATTGTATGTTACTGGCAGGTCTCTGAAGCTAAACATTGTATGTCCATATCAGCATTAGACTTGTATCAGTTTAATTGAGTTTTTTGGCTTTTGAAACAAGTGACACCCTCTTTCTTGTTAATGCAAAATGATGTGTATCATATAGGGTACAGTACAATGTATTTTGTTTTTGTGTTGTTTTCACTTTTCAGTATGCTTATGGATAACTAGTTCGTTATAGCTATCTTACACATTATCTAATAGAATCCAATTGTCTTTTTTCAGGTTCTTCAGATTACAATCACGATAAGGTGTTAAACCATCCATTTTGCTATTTGTTCTAAGCTGGCTTCCTAGACCTTACTCCAATTATACTGCTCTTTTCAGAACAATTATCACTGGGGTTGTGCTACCTAGCAACTTCTGTCTTTGGAATCAATGTAGTGGGATTTGTTTTGTATTCCGTCCAACTCACTTTACAATCAATCATGGACAATGACAGCTCCTCCACAGGGAAGATTACTGAACAAGCTAATACACTGGCATCATCTGATAGCTCCACAAGTAGCAGGGAATCGGACAGTAGTGACATGCATGTCTCTGACAAAAGTAAAAACTCAGCAGAGAAACAGAGTTAGACATGTAATATAAATAGCCAAAATCTGAGCTCTGAGGGTACATATAATTGGACAATAATTATAAGCATTCCTTCTCATCTTTAGTTGAAAAACTTATTCTCATATTTAGCTGAAAAATCTGGCGGGTGCAGTCTCAACTAGAGAGTTTCAATTAAGCTAGTACTCCCTCCATCCAAAAAAGAAGAGAAGAATGCAATTCTAGATTTGAGCTAACTCAAATTGTCTTAAGTTTAACTATGTTTCAGAAAATATATCAATATTTATCTCTAAATTTGTTTATTATGAAAATATATTATATAATTAATCTAATGATATTTACTATATGGCTTGAATATTTTTTACATCTTTGGTTGTGATTAGTAACCGGTGTGAGCACTCTTGTACCATTTTTTGTGTTTGAGATGTTGGATCAGGATTGTCCAGTCTTTGCTCTATCCATGCTTATGTGAAATATTGAGATCATAGTTGTGCTGTTACTGTTATATTCGATCTTTCTATTCAGTTGAAGTCAGTTCTTGTACTGTTATATTTGATCTTTCTATTCAGTTTGAAATCATGCTTTCATTTCACTGTCAATTGTTAGGACCAATCTGTATGCTTATTTGATATAGTTTCTTTAGATCATTAGCTTGCATTACTGATTTGAACACCTGATTGGCTGATTTCTGAAATTTGCCCAGGAAGACGATGGTAGCATCTAAAAGACACGAGGATTTATATTGGTTCAGGCCGGAGCCCTACATCCAGTCTCAGAGATGATCGAGCGCATGTTCCTCGCTTGAATGCTCTGAAGTTCTTACAATGGGGGGGGGGGGGGTTGCAAGAATGGTGGAAGAGGTAGGAGAGCTAGAGCTAGGAGATGAACTGTCCGAAGGGAAGCTTCAGGAGTCTAGAGGTTGTGAGGAATGTGGAGATTCAGAATAAATCCGATCCCCTCAAAGGGATGCCCTGGCCGCCCTTATATAGAGTTTGGGGCCAGAGCATGTACAAAGAAGAAGGTTCTCCCGACCGTGGTGTCGTGAGCCTAGGGGAGGGGCCTAGCTAACTTGCTTGCAAGCTACGCCATCTTGTGGAGTACGTCCTGACGTGGTTGTTATCATGGTCTTGTGCCCATGTCGCGGTAAGGTGTGGCGTGGTGCTACTGTACCGACCATGGCGGCACTGTAGGCACGGTGGTGGTTCGCCAGCCGTCCCGTGCGACGTGGTCTCCGTTATGGCCTTCGTCATCGCCTGCTGGTATCCTGGGGGCGTCGTACATGAGTTGGTAGCCGCCCCCAGGTCGTCGATCGCCTGGTTGGCCGGTGGACTTGGTGGCCACGATCCCGTGCTCCGGAGTTGTGGCTCCCACCGGTATGGATGGCTTCTAAGTCAAGGCCTCCGTCGTGGATCACATCCCGTAGTGGGCAGAATCGTACATGTGTCTTGTTGGACTGTATTTGAACGACGGGTCGCCATACTGGCAACACCGCCGTGCGGTGTTGTCTTGTCTGTGCCGCGTGGCACAGGGATGGTGTCTCACCGGACTGAGGTGACCGCTGTCCCCTCGGTCCTTGCGGGGTTAGTGCGGCGTGTCCACTCTCATCAGAGAGGGTGCGCTTGGCTAGGCTCGACCTCTCTCCATTCCTCCCAGGGGTCAGGACGGCGGAGAGGTCGTGGACCCTTGTGCAGTGCTTGGCTAAGGCAGAGAGGAGGGGTCATGGCTGACCCATCCTTGGCGCCTAGCCTGGTCCGCTTGGCTTAGCTAGGCCTTGGTCGTTTGGGCTTTCGCTAGTTGGTATATCGTGGGCCGTTCGGCCTACTAACTAATCGATGCCTTAAGATACCCGAGGATCATAACCTCGACAGAAAGAAATAGAGCATTCAACAGACTTACGACTACCGTCTATTTCGAACATACTCCATCTAGTCACCCGAGAGGGCATACTACCAAAATTAGAGACTACAGGTTTATGGCAACACAGAGAACAGACTCCGAGAATTACATCCCAAAATGTCATATGGCCATCCTGTAAGCAGACAACAAAACCGATGGACTCCTCCAAAGCATAATCATATGGCTGATAAGACTTGTCGGGGTTACAACCTCGGGGGGTCTCAAGGCACCGATTAGTTAGCATGCCTCGTAGCCCACAACACAACAGCTAGAACAAAGACCCGAATGATCGAGGCCCAGCAAAAGC